GGTGCAGAGGATAATAGTTCTACTTCAGCTAAGGAGCTCAGGGTGACCACTAGAAGAGAATACACAATGTGCACGGAGTACTTCAGGGTTTCTTATGAATCCTGAGACGGCCCAATCTCGCGCGATCTTTCGGGGTGTTGGGGGGGGGGGCGAGGGGATCTTGGGCTGTTAGAGGCTCCTGTGTGTTTCTGTTGGTTTACGTCGGGTCTGCAGGACTGTTCGGAGTTTGTCTTGGAATGCAAGACACACGGGGCTTTGGCTTTCAGGGCTCGGGCTTCAACATGCTTACGACCCACAGCGCCATCAGCATAAGCACCGTTCTCATCTCTGTTATTTTTCACGACATCCTAGACCTAACCCGGCCCAAACGGAAACTGGAAAGTTTCGGCTTCAATGGCTTTGTTGCATTCGCATGCCGGCAGCACGGCGACTCTGAGGAAGCTTTGGAAGGAACCTCCCCGGGAAGAGTAGAGTGGTATGGTCGTGTTTGCTGTGCGGGCTTCCACCTTAGAATCTACGCCATAAGCCCCACACCTCAACATAGGCCTTGTCACTGGCAAACAACCATGCCTGAATTCCCGATCGTTTAACCACTGCTCTCAAAGAAACCTGCATTCCTGGAGGCCCAAATCTTCGAGCCCTGACATCCACTTTGGAATCCATATTCTACGCCCCTCTAGACTAGTGCACGCTTGCCCTCCCAGCGCCCCTTCTACTCCCTTCTTCCGACCTTAACCCTAGACCCAAACCTTGAAGCTCTAAACCCTGAGCTCGACAAGCCTATCCCTGAACCCTATAGGAAGCCCCAGAAAGTTGGAAACCGGATTAAGGACAAATAGTGCTGGGATTCCCTATACATTACTCTTGAGGATTGAGGCTATTGGGTTTCCAACTTTTGGGCTTCTACTGTAAACCTAAACTTCCTAGACCCTAAACCCTTCACCCTATGCCTCAGGTGGATCCGAGGACCTCTAGCGGATGGCTCTCTCCCCAGTGCTCGCGAGAAGTAGCATCTTGGGGTTAGGCACCCGAAACACTTGCACGGGTTTAGTGGCTGGGATTCACGAGTTAAGACTGCAGCGGGTTAGGGATTTCAGGTTTAGAGTTTCTGATGTGGGGATGAGGAGTTAGAGGGAAGGTTCGGGCCAGCTGTAGTTCACCAGAGGCAGCATACGAAGCCATGTGACAGAGAGCTGACCAGATTGCTTGCCACATGCGCCGAAGGACATCTCCCAATGTTTTGTCGCAGCATCGGATGTAAGATTTCGGAGCTGTTCCTTTAAATACAAGGTGGCAATGATTCGAAAGTGCCCCTGAGTTAGATGTGCTGAGGCCTTTGTAGCAGTACTTTTTGCCCTCCAATGACCTCCCTAAACCCTAAACCCGTTTGTGAAACTTCCTCCAATCCTGTGACCTAGCAGTAGCAAGCTCCCAAAACGCCGAACCCTGCACCCCACTGGCACTATGAGGCTTACAATGGTTGCTATAAGTTACCTATACTCCCCATTGTAGGTCCTTTTTTGGTTGACAAATGTTCAATGTTAGGATCTGGCTAATCAAAAAGAGGAACTACAGTGGAGACTGTGGGTACTGTATAAGGGTGACTTCCTATGCCACTACCACCTTGCGCTACTTGTGACTCCGACCTCTATCTATTTCTGTTCCCTGCAAGGATCTGAATCCCGGAAAAATTTGAGCCGCAGCTGAGAATTCCCAAGGCACCCATCGCAGACCTACGTCTCGACGCATGGTACTCAGAGCTCCAGTCTTCAGCTGTAACACCACCTGGAAGCCCCAAACCCTCAGACGGAGGTAGTCTAGTCCTAGGAATCTCGCGGTGTGTGTTGTTACAAACCATGGTTGAAGTTTTCAACGACATGAGACCTGCGACCTGTCAGAATCACATGCATGGATCACAGCATCCACCGGAACCAGCCACAGCTGCAACTGCAGTCTTAGAAGTGTCCGGCTTGCGGACCAAATCCACAGTCTCGACAGCCCGGAAGCCCACATCCAAGTCCACCAGCCAAAAAGCACCGCGCACCCTATGCGCTGCTGGCATTTTGGAAGCATTGGTAGAGTCAGCCTCATGCCGAATGCAGAGGCAGAGGCTGGTTTAATCATGTGCAGACCATAATTAATGTCCATATGGAATAATATATCTTACAGTTCAGTGTTGTCTCAGAAAAAACACAAAACAGGAAGTGGGCGAATAAAATGTAAACAACAGGTTTTCCATGTTGATGATTAGTTCTGTGATCCTTCCACTCCCAAGACATACAGATGCAGAACAGTGGCAAAATTTTTTGTGTTGACAGATGAACTGCTGTAGTTTCGACAGCTTAGAGATTTTGGGGCTCTTGAGGTTATTCAAGAACCTCCAACCCTACAGCTCCAAAAAGACGCAATCCCACTTCCACTATAAGTCTTGATTTGGAGTCTTCAGGAAAATAGGGTACCTTATCCGGAGTAGTTATGACGAGGGTCCTTTGATCAGGAGTCTCTGTTAAGGTCCTCTGTTTCTCTATAATCGATGGCACTGTTTCGAATTTCAGGCGGGACGCGCCCGCGGAGGGCAGCCAGGTGGCAACGGCACTCAGAGCGACGATACATGTGCATAGGGTTCAGCTTTGTGTTGCTGCTTCAAAGGTTGGTGTCTGTTTTTACAAGCAGGGATTGGGTAACAATTTCGAAGGAGAGAGGACACCCTGGTCTGAAGGGACTGCATCACGGGTGCAGAGAGCCACTGTATGTTTGCGCCTCTCTTGTGTTGCGTTCCTGACAGCTTGAGAGGTTTTCTGAAGCCACTGTAGGCTGGCAGCACGCAGGGCTTGGATTCGTGTACCACGGAGCTGTCACAAAGGGCGTGAGCTATCAGGAAGTCGTATCTCCTCACACTTTCTAGAAGCCTCCAACCCTAAGGTCTTGTTCCAATCATTCAAGCCCCCAGGTCTAAAACCCTGCACAGCCGTTAGAGTCATCTCATTCAAACTATTATGAGACCGCTGTATGTTCTGATCCAGTTATCAAGGCCCCTGCATTATGCCACTATCTCTGAATTCTAAGCCGGCGTTCAAGGCTCAAAGTCTTTCACGATTAGACAAACCTAACCCCCCAGGTACCTACTACTCTAGGGTACTAGAGCCCCTAGGGCCCTATATAGTAGGTACCTGGGAGGTTAGGGAAAGGTCATCCCGGGAGTTGCGCGGCAACAGAGGTCAACAAGGCTCAAGCCGGAGAGGGTTCAAGGCTCGCCTCAGGGTCCAAGTACCATGATTTTCAGAAACCCAAAACCATAAATCATGGCCCTTAGAGAATCACTACTTTTGGACCCTTTTTATAATCACTACTTGGGACGCTTAGGCTTAGGATTCATAGTCTGATGCATCGGCCTCTTCTTCAAAGACTTGCTGCTTTCAGGCGGAGGCCCCCGTGAGAAGACCCGTCATGCCTAGCAAAGCTAACCCCCCCAGGTACCTACTACTATAGGGTACTGGAGCCCCTAGGGCCCTAATATAGTAGGTACCTGGGAGGTTAGGAAAAGCTCAGAAATCCTGAGCGGTTTTTTTTTGGGGCAACCAAGAGCCTCCAGGCGTGGGATACTCGCTAAAATGGGCTCCCAAACACCAAGCCCGAGACTTTAAACCCTCTCCTGACACCTACATGTAGGGCGGACGGAAAAGAGGTGATCAAAAAAAAGGAACCCTCTCTCCCCTTTGAAGCCTTCGAAACTCAGAGGCCCCTGGCTTTCTGAGGTCTCTGCGCAGACGACTCAATCAGGCAGAGATTCGATTCTTCCGGTGGGCTCAGGGTTCAGGGCTTGAGCCCTAAACCCTAAACCCTGAACCCTATAGAAAGACTCTTGAAAGACTACAACTCCTAAAACCCTCGACCAGGGGCTCTTTTCTGGCTTCTCCGTCCTCTTAGAAATCTTCAGGCGTGACCTTGATCACAGAGGCCCAGGTACCGATACCATGCCTCCCAGAAATTGTCACTTCATGAGACGGGCTTACCGACTGTGAGGTCCTTCGGCTTTCTGGTGTGTCAGAAGAAATGCAGAAAGTCCCATACCAAGTAAAGGAATCTTGAACTACGCTGATACAAAGGAGAAGAAAACTATTCTACAAATGAGGACCGGTAATGAACTTCTAGGGGTCCGCTCCTCCCGACTATTCCCGACAGCGAAAGCCTGCACAGGCCCGTCGGTGGCGCTGAATGCAGCTCCTGCGCCGAGGCACCCGATGGTTGAAGCGTCCACGGCGTGGGGGTTTAGGGCTTCAGGTGACTTTGGGCCTTGGGCTCCGAGACTTGAACCCACAACCCGATACCAAGGACCCCTAAATCCCTGCGCCTTGAACCCCTTGCAAAGTCCCAAACTCCGATCCCGAAGTCCGACCTCCGCAGGTTTCTGCGATTCAGAGGCTCATCGGCTATAGGGCTACTGTAGGGGCCTCAATAATTAGAATAGGGTTTGGGGGGTTCCTTATTATACTTATATTATAATGGGCCCCAAAACCCTATTCCAATTATTAAGGCCCCTATATTGCCATAGGGTTTAGGGTTTAGGGTTGCTGTAGGGCTACCGGCCGACTTGCTGCATGACTGTGCCAGGTCAACACTTCACGTCTTACCAGGATCTGCGATAACCGACAGCTGCTCCTAGTCTACTGTAACCCTAACCCCCCAGGTACCTACTACTCTAGGGTACTAGAGCCCCTATAGGGCCCTATATAGTAGGTACCTGGGAGGCTAGGGTAAAGAGGTGCATGCTCTGCGACCTCCCGGAGCCTAGATGTACATGCACTGCTGCATTCAGGCGAGCACTAGAGTATAAAATTTGGTAGACTTCAAAACCTGACACCGAGGGGTCCAACAAGGGCCCAGAAGAGCTCCGGCACTCAAGCGTGCTTCAAGCTAGAAGCAGCTTTCTACCTCCTTTTAGTCGCTTGGTACTTTACGCTTTTGGGCAACTCCCACACGTGGTCTTGTGCCTGCAAGCCATGGCCCCGTCCTTGCTCACTGTGGACACGGTGTGCAGCTATGCGCCTCGGCACCAAGGGGGGCAAGTCAAATCTTGATCCCGCAAGCCCCAAATAGACTGTATTCGGAAGCCGCTAAGAGAATCGATTCCACAATCCCACGACGTCTCTGTGATGGCGTGCCATAGAGCACCACACCCGACTCCGGTGCCGGATTCCAGCACTTCTTTGAGCGTCGCTTGCTCGCTTGCATTCTAGATCAAAGCATAAGGCCCTGCTACGGTCTGAGCCCGACGTCGTGGCAACCCCTTAGAGGGACCCTTGGGGTTATATAGGGGTACTATAAGACTATATACGGGGTCTATAAGAGTTATATAGGGTAAACCCCTACACCAACCCAGGAAGCGAGAGCTGGTTCGACCTTCCCGACCACTCCCGTCAGGAAACCTTATAACTTCCCTCAGACTCGCCTGGCCGGTAATTTCCAAGCAGCCCCAGCTTTATGTGGGTAGTTCTCTAAAATTAGGGTCCCTTTTTTGAATCCCCAAGATAGTACGGCAGCCTTATGTAAAAAGGAGCCTATAAGGGACCCTACTTTAGAGAACTACCCATCTCTTAGCTCTTCCGAAGGCCCAAAGCCCCCTAAACCTGAGACGCAGTGAGCTTCAGCCTCGGGGGCCCCTTCGGTTGAACCCTAAGCCCTAAACCGTTGAAGTGCTCGTCTTCGCTTCAGGGTTTAGGGTTTAGGGTGATTCAGGGTTTAGGGTTTAGGGTGATTCAGGGTTTAGGGTTTAGGGTGATTCAGGGTTTGGGGTCTGGGGTGTGTCTTCTACGTTTTCACGGGAGGCTTTGGCATGTGACAGAGTGGGGAGGTGGGCATGGTACGATCGGGGACTTTATAAGTAGCCATGCTATTTCAGGGTTGCTTACTAGAGTACTAGCATAGTGTACCCCCAAAACCCTATTCTAATAATTAAGGCCGCAATTACCTCGTATTCAATGTCCACAGTGTCCGCAGCAGTTTCTCAACCCCTTGCAAAACCCTATTGCACCAACGCCCTGTACCCTAACAATCACTATCTGTTCCGGCCGCATGTATCTGGGCTGGGGCTTGAAGGCACAACAAAGACAAGTCTAAGTGGATGTGGCTACGGGTTTGGACGTATAGGATTCATAAGCCAGCTTGAGGGCAACAGACCATGTAGCTCTACACACTTCCATTCAACCCTAAATCCACATCCCTTCGCAATAACAAGGTGTCTGCGCATTTGGCTGGTTTACCCGATGCGCCTCTCCTGAATGGCCGTTCGATGTGATTGTTTTTTCATGTGACGGCTGCTTCGAAATATGCTCAATGCTCCCATATTACCACCCTAAGTCCATTATGCCTTAAACCCTGCCCCCCCAAAACAACCCTAACACATCAGACCAGATTGAGATCGAAGAAAGGGGCCCATAAACCTGAAATTCTAAACCCGAAACTTAAAGCGGAGCATAACTTAGTCAATCCAGGTACAGGTAGATATGAGGTTTCTGAGCATCGCGTCTTTGGTTGAAGCTTCTGGTAGGGCGTTGGGTCTATCTTCTAGATGCCTTTTTCCGGTAAGAGGGCTTAGGTTTTCAGGTCCAGCATGGGATGATGTTGAAGAGTATTCTGGGATGAAAGCTGCCTGGTATCCCCGGACCCCAAGGCTTAAAGCAGCGAGCCCCGGGTCCCTTCTCGTAGCATTGAAGCTTGTCGGGATTGCGGGTGCCTGCACATTGAAGCCGGCAGCTTCGGGGTTCGGATCTAGGATTCCATCACCATCTGAAGGATGGACCTTCGAAGTCCGTGCAGTCGTAGTCATAGTGCGTTTCATGCTTTGAGAGAGGAACCAAGGCTTTCTGACTTTCTTGGAGGAATCTTAGACGCGTGGGGAATGGGAAACTGAACGCTGAAGCAAGTCCCGACGAACAAACCCGACAAAACTTGACGTAAGCCGACACTCCTTGAAGCTTACGACGTCAACCCCCCAAGTCCTAACCCTAAGGACATAAATCCTCCCAAACAACTCGCATCCCTTATGTCCCCATCTCTCCCAGGCGCCTTTGTCTGCAGGTGCGACGAGAGTAGGAGTTAGGATTAGGGGTTTAGGGTTTAGGGCGCCTGGGGGAGAGAGAGAGAGGGTTTAGGGTTTGGAGATATAGACCCCTCTCAATAAGGGCTGTTTTAAGAGAGCCGTCCCAGTAGGGTCCAGAAAGTTCCTCTTTAAGAGGTCCCTCTCATACTGCCTGGGAGGGTTTAGGGTTTAGGGTTTAGGAGGGAGAGAGGGGAGGGACGAGTGGCTTTAGAGATTTGGGTCTCTGGGGTCTTAAAGTTGTCAATTCACGGCTTATGCTTAGGCCCATAAAGTTTAGGGGTTTTAGGTCTACAAGTGTTTACAGCAGGCTTCCGTGGCTAGGCCACTAACCCCTCCAAGTTGCTATGTGGGTCAGAGAGCACAGGATGAAGGCTTTTGCCTGAATCTGAGGGGGCCTTGTTTAGGGGTTTGGGTGATAGTTTTAGGGCTTAGGGCCTATATTGGGGTCCATTAAGACGGGTCACAAAATTCCTGAGTGCGCTTGAAGCTTGAAGCCAACATGGGGCGCACTCCCGCGCTTCTGCCCAAACCGTGAAGGCCAGCTTGCTGTTGCCACTATGCCACGATTCCTTCTGGATATATAGATTATTGTCTGTGTGATGTTGCTTTTGACGAACCCTGCCGAGCATCATCGCCACCACCAGACTGACACTTGAGTAGCAAGCACCTTGAGTGTAACAGGCCTCGTTTCAAGCATCACGCATTATGCCGATGTCGCAGCAGTTGTTTGTTGTTAAGTCGGATTTGGATATTCAGAGCTCAATAGTCAATAGAACCTTCGTTAAAAGCTGCTTCAGTGCTTCTGAAGACAGTCGCCCAACCTGAAAGCTGACATTCCCACTTAAGGGCTTTGTCTTAAGCTTCTTGCGTCGGTTTGGGATAGGCTAAAACCCGAAACCCTAAAACCCTAAAACCCTAAACCCTACCTGGGACCCGTCGGGAGTCCCCAAAAAGGGACCCCTACTGCAGACCAGACTCCCTCCCCTACATCCTTTGCCTCTCTGGTTCTTAATACGGAATGGGGAATGGATCCCTATGATAGTCCCTAAAGGTCCCCTATAGTCGTCCCAATAACCCATTCCCCCATTCCCTACTAAGAACCAGAGAGTTGCGAAGAGGGAGTGGAGAGCAGGCTCAACTTTGACAGCCGATGAGGTGCAAGGCAGCGTGGCCCTTTAGCCCACCATTAGGGTTTAGGGTTTGGGGGTTTAGAGGTTTAGGGTTTAGGGGATGAGTGTGGGGGATCAAGGGTTCTGAACTTGGGAAGGCCTGGTTGCTTCCGGCGGACGGGCTAAGCCCATGCTCTGAGAGAGCGAGCTACCACCCTAGCCCGGCCCCAACAACACACATTACAAAACCCTAAAGACATGATCATGTCATTGCAAGTTTCAGAAGCTGGAAACTCGTCCCACCCCTTCCGCCGAAACTCACGGACCCAGAGAAGGTTGAAGGGCACAGGCTTATTGTTGGATTTCCGGGCCTGGGGCTTGGAAGGGTTAAGGATTTTAGGGCTTAAGAGTTTTGGTGGTAGGTAAGTGTAAGTGTCAGATGCGGAAGATCCGAACGCAGCTGTAGATGAAAGATGATGTTGGGGGGCTGAGGTTGAGTCTACGGACGAGAAGTCTGGGTTTGTTAGCCTTTGGCAGGTCTTGGGTGGTCCGGTCGTTTTGGTGGTCCGATCGGAGGTTCTACCGGTGTGGTCAAGGGGCATGGTCCGGTCGGTGGTCGATGCCTGTCGGTGGTTCCGACAGTGGTCTGACTTGTGACTGGTCTAAGGGGCTTTGCAAGCTCGTGGAATTGCCAGTCTGCTAGTCGCTGCTAGTCGGGAGCTGCCACTTTGAGCTATTCAGATTCAGGGGTTCAAGCCCCAAACCACTGTGTGCCATACACCGCTTACACAGCCCAGAATGAAGCCGATATGCCCGCCTCCAGGTGGTAATCTCAACTATGCCTTTGCTGTACGAGATGCTTCCGGCAAAGGCGTGTTCGTCAAGCAAGCGCCGGACTACATCAAGGCTCTTGTGGGGCCAAAGGTTTCTGTGTGTGTGTGTACTGCATGGTTTGGGGTCTGCGAGACGTGGAACTGGCAACCCCATGTAGCATCAAGCCCGGAGACTTTCGTGCCCATGAAGCCCTTAGCAAACGAAAGCTCAGCAGAGCCCTTTCGACATTGCGGAGTCGTCGGCCAATACAAACAGCGACTGCTCTTCTTGGATGCCTACTTTCGGTCCAGTTTGATTACATGCTTGCCGACGGCGATGACGACGACATCCAATTGCCACGACTGCCAAGACCATTTCAACCTAGTCGTACGAGGACCACCACCACATCAGCAAATGCATGCTGCTGATTGACATGTAATCGTACCCGTGCGCGGAAGAACAGCAGTAAACAGTGGAGTAAGAAGCGCACAGACAAAAGGTCTACACACGCAACAGCACAGTGAGAAGCCGCAGTGTCAATATGATGTTTGTTTCGGCCGAGGTGCTAGGGCCGGATGCGGCGCTCACGCGCGAGCGCATGCGACTGGAGGCCCACGGTGTGCTTTGGGGGGTGTGGGGTTTAGACTATGATTTGCAGGTTAGGGCTTTTCCCAGTTAATTAAACTTGGGGCCGCCCGGGCTCTGAAGCACGAAGCCGGCAAGCAAAGAGATTCAGCAGCACCTAAACCAGGAAAACATCCCAAGGTACAGGTCTATTCGGAGTGGACGCGAAGCGCCTTGGAAGCACACTTGAGGCTCACCTCAGTCTTCCAAAGCGCTTTCGGCTCTTCGGCTTCCGATTTGTCAACAACTTCCAAGCCGTTCCGGCTTCTCCGTCGATTGATGCAGGTAATGATACGGTTAAGGGCTTGGGGCTTGGGCTTTAGGGGGTCGTTCGTAACACCTGGAAGGGGATGATCTGTTCGCTAAAATGTCCTCGGCAGTGCACCGGTCGGGGCCCCAAACCGCGAAGCTTGCAGGAGCCAGGGCTGCAGACGATCGTCGTGGAGAGAAGAGAGGCCCCCCGAAAAAATCTAAACCCTATCCCTTAGCATCAAAATAGCCCAAAAGCCTTATATAATAGGGTCTTTGGGCCCAAAAGCCTTAAAATATGAGTCCTTGGAGGGTGAGGGTATAAGCCGGCTGAAATCAGACGAGGCATGTTCGAGCTGCCAGAGCCTAAAACGGCTCTCATGAGGCCCCGGTGCCGCTGCCTACTTCCCGCGGGTCTGGAAGCCTCCTGTCTCCCAGATCTGGCCTGGGCGAGGGTTTTGTGATTCAGCATGATGGACAACAGCAATAAAGAATGGGAACAATACTACTAAACATAACAGATCGTAGTGATTGTTATTGTAATAATGTGAATCATGATAACTTTTGTGCAGAGTACTGGAGTACATTAGGGTTGCCTTTGTCAGTGAGATGAATACCCATATCACAGAAGAGAAGGGTGTGGGGCCAGCAGTCTTTGCCTGGAGGATTCAGGTTCTGGAGTGTTGTGAACTGAACGCCGCACTGTCGGATATGATGTGCCTGGGAAGTTCTGAGGCAGTTTTTGGTGTAGCTTTCTGTAATCTTCCACTGCGGGAGTTAGAGAACCATGTTCCCCTGGGGGCTTGCGTCATGAGCAATATAGGGACCATGATAATAAGACTAGGGTTTTGGGGCGCATTGTGCTACAACGATAATAAGGAGCCCCCAAAATGGTATTGCTAATTATTTAGGCCCCTACATTATTCAGCCTATGCACGCCAGCTCCCTATGCACAAATGCTGTGTACTGCTCCTGTCATGTCTTTCTCGTGGTGGAAAAGACTCATACAGGCGCACTAGCCTCTCGTTGTGTTTGTTTCCAACCGCTCCTCCTCCCGCAATGTGTTGTGGCTGTCGAAATGAACGAGGAGGGTAAGGGTCATGCAGCTGCGGAAGAATGCTGTTTGTCTTATTGCTGATTGATGCAGCTTTTTTGCCATTGAGCGTCCTGCACCGGCGAACATTACGTGCCACTGCATTTCATCAGCATCACCATGATTTTTCGCCACCATCACCATCATCATCATCATCATCACTGTCCTCCTCGCGATCAGCATGGTGTTCATGTGAGTCGGCCTCCGCGATGCTTTACACGCACCACTCATCTCAGTCACCCGTCGCACGTGCACCCTCGAACCCCCAAAGCACGAAAAGGGCTGCCGTCCTGGAGGTTCGATGAAGACTCCATGGCCTTTATCATGGAGCTCTTGGACAGCCACGAGCTTCTTCAGAAACACCTGTTCCAGGCTTGGTCCTGATGCTGAGGGTGTGCGGGCTGGGGACTCAGGGCTTCGGGCTTGGGGGGGGCCGGCCGGTAAGATTTGTTCTAAGTTCTATGAGGGTACCAAACCCTAAACCTGAAACCCTAAGCCTTTTGTGAATAGTAGGGAAGCTCGACCCCGCAAAAGGGGCGGCCGGCTGGGATTGAAACCTTCGGAGGCCAAGCTCAACACTTCGAGATGGGTGGGCGACCTCTTGATGCCAAGGAAACCAAAGCCTCAAAGGGTGCCTGGAAATGGGCATGAGCATGCAGTAAGGCAGAATCCATGGTATTGTTCTGGCTTCTTCATCCTGGCCCGTTCAGAATTCTAGGAACTCCACTTCAAGGGCAATCCGTCGCCGGGTTTCGGAGACTTGTATTGGGGACTACACATAAACAAGACCATGCTTACCCAGAGGTAGCAAGGAAGTTGCGCAGCCAGACCTTCTAGAAACCCTGCGAACCCGGAGAAAAAGGTGGCTCAAACCTAACAAGCCGTTACTGGAAACCTTCAGTCAAAAAACCGTAAACCGAGCATAGACTGCGGAAAAAGCCCCCTAACATCCGGGCAGCAGTGCAGGGCCATGTTCAAGAGGCTGCGGCGAGATCTCTGGGCGATTGAGCCTCGAATGCGATGCAAGATGGGGTTACTGTAAGGGGCCTTGATGAAATTGGTTAGGGATGCACTGTAGTGGCTGCAACAATTACCTGTACTTTTGTTTGGGGGTTCCTTATGACAATCATAGTAAAATATTCCCCAACACCCTATTCTCATTATTAAAGGCCGTTACATTGTTTGTCCTGAAATCCTTTTGGCGGTGTGCCTTGTCAGCTTTCGGGACTGCCAAGTCTAAGGCGCAGGAGCATCCGAATTCCTAGATCTGCGACCTTGTGCTTATGCTAAAAGCCCTAAACCCTAAACCCTAAGAAATAAACCCTAAACCCTAAACGGGAAAAAACCCTGCAGGCCGCAGAGACGCCCATAGCCTCATCCGCAGCCCTGGCCCCGGGTTCATTTCTTGGCGACCCGACACTGCAAACCCCAAACCCCCCGAGTTGAGGGCCCAAACTGAGGCATGGCGCAGATGCACAGCAGGAGCCAAGCGGGGGGAAAGGTGATGATAGTAAAATGGCAGAAGCAGGGTCTAGCCTGGGCTTCACATGCTCCAGCGGCAGAACAAAGATTGGTGTTGATAAACCAGGTTGAGTGAGAGGTTCAGGGTTTAGGGAGGGTTTGAGAACAAGAGGAGAGCCTTATGGCAATGTTGAGCCAAAAATCTGGCTCTAAACCCCGAGGGCTCAGGGCTCACCGAAACATGTTCCAGGGTTTGATTAGGGTTTAGGATCCGGTTCCATCGATGCTGGGTTGACGGACGGAGCGGTTCCTCTTGTTATGTGATCGAAAATGCAGACGGCCAAATCGGGGATGCTGCGCCCCGAAGCCAAGTCAGGTCGATAACCCTTGCAGCCACTTTCGTCTCGTGGAGAGGAGGAGGTATCATCTTGAACTTATAAACCCCTAAACTTTGAACCCTACGCTGTTACTGTTGTATCATCACAAACCGAATACGTTTTTGGGAACCTCATGGTTCAGACCGAGGATTCAGGGTTTGGTGCAGCGGGTCTAGCGGTTTAGGGTGTAGGGGTTTAGGGTTTAGGGGTCTAGAAAAGGGTTCTTGTCGCAAAAACCGAGTCATTAGAACCTACCCCTTCGAGGCACACCCCTGAAGGGCGCAGATCGCATCGCACTTTTGGGCTCTAAACCCCTAAACCCCTGAACTCACTCCTAAGCCAGCCCTTCACCCTAAACTGCAAACCCTAAATCCTAACCCTACTCGAGGCCCTAGACCCAAAGCCCGTGAGTATCAGGACTCACTGCTCAAAGATTTCTGCCGAAGAGTGCCAGCGTCTATCCAAAGCCTACGAGAACCGCCTCTCGAACGATTAAGGATTAAGGCTTTAAGGGGTTGGGGGTTTAAGGGCGTGGGGGGGGGGGGGGGGGGGGGGCCGTATGAAAGGCTACCTTATTCAGGGATCCATATCAGGTAAGTAAAGCGATCCTAGTACCTGGGGGTTTGCAGTAGACCGTAAACCCTATACCCCAAACCTTGAACCCTAGAGGTTCTCTTGAAGCCTCAGACTTCAACTGTAAGGCGCCAAAACAGGCCCAAAGAACTCCAACAAGCCGAGAAGGTTCAGTGTTTAGGGTTTAGGGGTTTAGGGGTTTAGGGTTGCACCCTCAGTGTAAAGTCGCTAGCAAGCGGTTTGAGATCCTTCTGATTTTTTTTTGTGTGTGTTTTTTTTTTTTGGGGGGGGGTGCGGCACCCTCATCCCTACATATAGTATCCATTGTAGTTCCTTGTTTCGGACCTCTTCTAACTAGGATCAATTGGTGTAGCCAGAAAGGAATTACCTTGGAGACTCTTGGAGTAACCCCAACCCCCAGCTTAAACCTAAAAGCTCTGAACCTTACCTTAAATCCTAAACTAAACCCTGACAGGGGCTAATCCCTCCACCCTGAACCCTAAACCCTAAACCCAACCTTACTGTTCAGGGCTTTTGGGCTGTGGGTTAAGGGGTTCAACACGCGACGAGGAGTTCCTGAGGTTTCGGCTGGAGCATCGCCCTCCTTGGCTTCACCACTCCCCTTGAAGCTTAAGGGGCTTCAGGGGCTTTAGGGTTTAGGTTTTGGGGTTTAGGGTTACGGGTTTAGGTTTTAGGGTTTATAGGTTGAGGAATTAGGGTTGTAGTTCGGGGGGTGCGCCTCGCCCGGAGACTGCGGCACGGCTACATTTCTTGTAGCCGACGCTGATGCCCCGATTGTAATCAATAGCAGCAACAACAACCCGAATCCCTAATCCCCGAACCCTAAAGCCGAATCCCTATACTCCCTGAGCCCTAAAGCCGAATCCCTAAACCCTAAGCTGCCATCTAAGTCGTGGCTCCCCCCACCCTGGCTTGTCCTGGGTTGTCGGAGCCGAAGCATCGATTCCTTCAAGGGCACGCCCACAGAGGATGATGTAGGGTGTAGGGATGTAGGGGATGTCTTTATTCAGGGTCACCCATGAAATTAAGGATCCCGTGAGATGATGAAATTCGCTTCAGATCGCAACGCCCACTTCACGAAAATTGACAAAACACTCCTTATGGTATAGGGTTTAGGGCTTCTGAACCATCCTGTCTCTCTGTCCAGACTCGAAAGCAGTAGATGCTTGAAGCGATGCTAAGCTGCTTCCTAGATCCAGGCTTTAGAGGTCCAGGTGCATGGGCGCTTGGGATGTGTTGTTATGTGTTTTTTTGTCCAGTTCAGGGCCAACCATTAGGGTTCCGGGACTAATACTAGGGCTTGCGTCTAGGAATCTTGCCTGGAGGCCTGATGCGCGACATTCAGCTGGAGCGTCCCGGCCGCAACATAGCTTTAGAGAAGATTCTGTAGTTCTCTATCCCTAACCCTCCAGGTACCTACTATATAGGGCCCTAGGGGCTCTAGTACCCTATATAGTAGGTACCTGGAGGGGTTAGGTATCTTAGGGTCCCATTTAGGATCCTTTTCATACGGGTGCCAAACTATTGTGGTGACCCAAGATGGGACCCCAACGCCCTAGCGTAGAGAACTACCCTTAAAACCCCAGATATGGCTTAGATAACTACCTATATCCTGAGCCACTGCCTCTTCGGGCATCCGCTCAGGGAGATCTCCGAAACTTCGGAGTTTCAGGATTTCTGGAAGCTTCGGTAGGGTCTGGGGTTTAGGGTTTAGGGTTTGGGGGTTTAGGGTTTCAGGGGTTTTCGTTTTAGGGTTTAGGGGGGGCTTTTGAACAAGTCTTTGCCGAAGAGATACTCACACGGATCAAGATCCCCACCCAGTCCATCGCAAGTACTAGATATGCAAGAAAAGCTTTGGAACTTGGCCCATCTTGCCTCAAACAAACTGTCGGAACATGAAGAAGCATATCATATTTAATATTTTGTGAGATCATCACCCTACCTTGATTCCTGAATCTCAGAGGAAGCCCGAGAAATGGCCTTCACTCCGGACCTCCAGCCCCGAGCCTGGAGAGCTCCCCCGTAGGTGTTTTGAAGTTAGGGTTTAGGGTTTTGGGTTTAGGTTTATAGGGCCTCTAGGGCCCATAGGGTTTGGGGTCCAGGGTTCAGTGTTTTGTTGGACCCCTGAATATCCCAAGATGAGGTAGAAGAGATCAGCATAAAAAAAGGTCTCGGGCCGCCCAGGTTTGTTTTCTCCAAGTGCTACCGAGAAGATGCACGAGCTGCGCCTCGACGAGCCAGACGGTTGATGTTCATCATGGAACCTACATACCCCTAACCTCCCAGGTACCTACTATATAGGGTACTAGAGCCCCTCCTATATAGTAGGTACTTGGAGGGTTAGGGATATATAGGGGCAAATAGGTATACATACCTGGATACCTGCATGCTTGCGGACATGTATGTAAGTGTATGAGCGTATGTATGGGGCAGCATGGCAGCAGTGGCTGAGCGACTGAGATGCCGTAAAGGAAGTCGCAAAGAAACCGCATATCAAGCGTCTCCATACGTAAACGCTTCAAACTACTCTCGCTGCAGCACGGACAGCAACGAGAGAAAGCAACAGCCAACCATGAATCACGACCACAGTAACTTTGGAAACGGAGGAAAAGCAGTAGCAGCAGGCATTGTCGTCGACTGGTAGTAGTTGCAAAAGCTTTTCCAACATACCATGAAAAATAGCAGCGCAGGTTTTGGATCCAGCACGACTTGCAACATACAGGATTTGCATGCGCTTGCAAGCAGAATAGTCCACGGCAGCACAAGCACCGGTAGCATCACTGTTGTCATGTCCGACATGTTAGGTGCAGACAATAGTGACTATAGGCCAAGCTTTCGTGGCTGAGGAGCACCTGCGCAGCGATGCAGCTTTCATGTCGCTCCTGGAAGTGGTCAAGGACGTCAATGGAACTTCCAGGAATGACCCACATGAACAGCACCTCCAGCCATCATGAAACTGAATAGACTCTAGAATTGACCGTGTGTCATGATCGTCCTTGTCCTCATCTTCACAATGTTAATCGGGCCTTGCTTTTGCCTGTCGGCGTGTAGCTTGTGCTGCCCTGCTCTATGTCTCCGAGATCCGAAATCCTGCGGCGGCACAGCCCACAGGAAATCTACAATGGGCAGAACACCAGGAACTTGGCCGTCTGTCATGGCGACCTTCATGCGGGGAGCGTGATGGCCACTTCAATGCAACAGGATCGATGGCAGTTTGGTTCCTGAAGGGTTTACCGTCTTCCCCCTGAGAGTCTCGATTGCACAATCCTTGGGGATGTAGCGGGCGTCGCCCTAATCTCCAAACCCGAAGCCCCCAAACCCTAATCCCCAAATCCTAAACCTTAAACCCCAAACCCTACACCCTATTCCCAGACCCTAAATGTGTAGCATTGGGGACCCGGGCTTGAGCTTCAGGTGTTAGACCAGAGGGCTGGGAATCAAAGTCGCAGAGTTTTCGGATCTACCTTCTTTAGGGTTTAGGGTCTAGGGTTTAGGGGTTTAGGGTTTAGGGCTTGGGGTTTTAGGGTTTAGGGTTTAGGGGTTTAGGTCACTCGTTCTGAACCTACTAGTTCTTTCTTGCGCTGCTCGTGAGTGCATCCCCTAGGTCTCCTAAGGCGAGCTTCGCTGCCGGCATACACTGCAAGTCCGTGCTCAAAAAAAGGGGTTTAGGTAGTAGGGGTTTTGGGATTTGGGTTTGAGGGGTTTAGGGTTTCGGGTTTAGGGTTTAGGGCTTTTGAGGGTTTCAAGGTTTCGGGTCTCCTCGGTCCGCACAAAGCAAGACTAGGTAGGCCTTTGGGACACTTTATGCCTTCCCTGATGGGGCACAAGAGGATCTTATTTGCGAATATCTTTCAGGGGCTTTAAACTTTAAAAGGCCAGACTAGAATATGATCATGAAATTCTGCTGCTATCGATGTGGATTGTGCTGCAGGTGGGTGGCGAATCAGCAGCCGCCGCTGGACTGATACAGCACCCAAATTAGCCAATCCCGAGCCACAAAAAACCGCCCAGCATGTGCACGTCTCATGTGGGGGAATTGAGCTTATATGCTCAGGTCTTATAAGCTCCTCCTACCATAGGCGAGGATTTCCCAGACGTCCTTCAGACACTCAGACCCGAAAACGACCGCTTCAGCCTCCCAGATGCTCAGAAATCTACCGATCCAAGCTCCGGATCTGGGAGTTGGATGTATTGTAACTGCGTCTTGGGTCAGCCGTTCAAGAGTGCCCGTATCCCTTGAATCCCAAAGCCACAAGGTGATGTTTCCTTTTCGTGTGATGCGAGACGCTTTATCCCAAAATCCTTTTCCCCCCCCCAAGGTTCCTCAGAGCCTAAACGAGAAAAGAAAACTGTTCCTTAAACTCCTCAAAACACGAAAAACCCCTATAAAGCCGTAAAAAGCCCTAAATTTCTAGGTGAAGATCATCGATCCCGAGTTTGCCATCTTCGGCCCACCGGGCTTAGACGTGGGCTCCCTGCTCTCCACCTATGCTTTGGCCTACTGAAGCTTGGCCCGGAAGTGTTTACGTGTTTAGGGTTTAGGGTTGAAATACACTGTACCCTAAAGCAGTTTGTGGGCTTGTTGTTTTCAGCCTACTGAAGCTTGGCCTGGAAGTGACCTGAAGGGTGGCTCCTTTTTCGGGCTTGAGAGAGAGGGGGCTTAGGGTTTAGGAGGGTTTAGGGCTGCAGGGTTTAGGTTTCTAGGATTTAGGGCTGTAATGTAGGGTTTAGGTTTCTAGGATTTAGGGGTGTAGGGTTCAGGAGTTGGGGGTTTTAGGCTTTAGGGTTTAGGCTTGAGGTATTGCACAAGTCCCGATGCAAAAAGGCTTGAGGCTCAGGGGGTTTTGCCGCGGGCCTTTCAGGGCTGGGCCCGGCAAGGGTTTAGGGTTCTTAGGGCTCTTAGGGTTTAGGGTTCTTAGGGCTCTGAGGGTTTAGGGTTCTGGGTTCTTGGGGTTTAGGGTTCTGGGTTCTTAGGGTTTAGGGTTCTGGGTTCTTAGGGTTTAAGGTTCCGGGTTGAGGGTTCTTACTTCTGCTGAATCCCTGGTGCTTCGCTCACAGCGCATGTTTCACTTGACAAGCCCGCTTGAGCATGAAGAAGGCAAGTCCTGCTGCTAAACTCAAGGCACAACGCTCACCCAGCCCCATGAAACCCTAAACCCTAAACCCTAAACCCCAACGCCTAGACTCCGAATGCATGAAGCCGGCGAAGCCTGGAGGTTACCACAGCGCCTTGAAGAGCACTTGCAAGGAGGAGTCCGCTCTGTGGCAGGGTTATAGCCCGAGTCAACGACACCATGCCTCACCACAGCTAGTGGGGATCAGGAAGTTAGGATTTCTAAGTTTTTGGGGCTTGAGGTGTTAGGCCAACAACAGGAAAAGCTCCCACTTTCAAAAATGGGTTGTGTCGCCTCCTTCTTCGCAGCCCATCCAGAGCTCTCTATATGCCCAGACGTTGCCGAGTGCGAGTGCTAGAATATACCGAGGTGAAAGCCATTCCCAAAATATGCCCCGTTCGAATCTCTCTTCGGGAGGTCGTGCTGCTCCCGCCCCTGATAGCAATAAGCAAAAAGGGCTACTTAGACGATCATATTTGTTTAGCAAGCCAAGCAGCCAGACGGTGCTAAGCACATTTCTGCTTTTGAAATGCGCACAACTTACTGTGCACAGTGCATTAGCGGACAAGGCGGCATCTCAGTCTATTTAACAAGTGGCACCTTGCTTAATCCTCAAACATTACCTACAGCCTATGGCCAGCACACCTATCACCCACGGTGTGTCATTGCTATCGCCAGTCACATTTGCATGTCTTCTCATAGTTGTGCATATCGTTACCAGTAGCCTTTGGTATAATTTAGATTTCCCTTGTTGGGCTGATGCACCACCAGCGAAAGATTTCGCATTCCGCTTTCACAGCGAAGGAGGGCCCGGATCCCGGAGTCGTGAACTCCCGCTCGCTTTGGCTTCAAGTGTATAGGGTTTCGGATCAAAGGATATAGCCTATCTCAGATTTGAGCTCAGTAGCACATAGGGTACAGCCTACCATGGGGCCAGTCGTCACTCACGACGAAGCATCCCTTCGTAGCAAGTTTTTTGTCGCTGTGCCTTAGCTCTTCTTTGCATTGCAGTCGCCGTGTGGTGCAGAGCAGCCAAGATTGCAATTCATTGCTGCCCAGAACAGGGCCAGTTTTTAGGAGGAAAGGGGGTCGTGAGCCGCTAAGTTCTGTTCAGAAGGTTGAAGATATGATGGGTTAAGAAACTACTGAGAAACTAAACCCTAGACTCTAAACCCATTTATGCAATTTCCGGTTGCAGCCCAATGAAGCAAAAGAGCACGTGAAGCATCGGATCATCGGAGGAGCTGCTCAGAGCCATGCAGGTGATTTGGGAGACCTACCTGGGAGTGATGAAGGCACCTAGACAGCAGCAAATAATCCCTTCCCCCTAATATTAGGCCGGGAGGCAGGGGAGCCCTCCCCCCCCCCCCCCCCGCCAAAAAAATAAATCGGAAAGTGTTTTTGTTATTATTATGGGGTGTTTTTTTGTTTTATCTCGATTGTCATATTTCTGGGCAATTAATTGCAATAGTAATTGTAACTAGCAAGGCAGCCGT